TTGGAGCGAACTGAAGATCTGATGACTCTGCAAATCCACTGCCATTCAGTCCATTCCCACCCATGGTGACCCCGTACAGGGTTTCTGAGGCTGTGAATCTTCACAGGAGCAGACAGCTTCATCTTCCCCTGAGGACAAGCTGGTAGGTTTAACAGACAATCTTGCAGTTAGCAGTCCAGTGCTTATCCTATAGAGACCATAGGGCTCCTTCTGATGACTATTGCCTAGCATTATTGTATAAACTAGAGGCCTGGTGTGGCGCTCTAGGATAAGCACTGGACTACTAACCTCAAGGTCAGCATTTCCAACCCCCCCACAGCCGCTCCTCAGAAACCCACCAGACAGCACTTAACAACAATTGTACAGAGTGAGATATATCCATCCATAAGCAAAATCAACCCACTCCAATTTCAGGTTTCTCCAGCTGAACAGAAAAGCCTTATCTCTCCCTGCATTTCCAAGCAGTAAGGGCACTAATAAAACCACCACCCACTTCACAGTCTCAAAGGCACTTTCAAGACCCCAAGTCATTCTCCACCCCCACACTCATCCCTAAACCATTCCCGTCCTGCCTCCACCCACCCACCCACGTTTCCTGATGGCCAGCCCCGTGCCAGACACGGCCAGGGTAAGGCTGCATGCTCTCCCTTGGAGAGTCCATGTGCTATTTGACGAATTTCCTAATAAAGAGTCAGGCGGCCAGAAATGTGGGCAGAGCATGAAGGGCAGCTTGTTCAGGTTCTGTTTATTATGTGCTCACAGCATTGTGGATAGTAGAGGTGAATGACATTATTCCACTTTACACGGTGATGAAACAACTCAATGAGGACTCCATCAGCCAAGCGATTTATGTGGCAGATGAGCTGCTACACATCTGTTGTGCACGCCATGTGACTCAGCTAATTCTACAGTGACTGAAGCACACACACCAAGCCCAGCCACCTTTTTCGCACCTGGCAATGGGGAGGGAGCAGAAGGGTCAAAAAGAAGTAGGAATCAAGAAGGGGACAGTTTATTGAGAGGATCTGAACCCCAAACCTGGAAGGCTAGTGGTGCCTTTCTGAAGCCACCTATCTTGGTCCACAGCATCCTGTGGAGTCCCAGGGGGTGGCAGGCACAGGAATACATCTCTGTTCTTGGCTTCTTTCACCACAATCTCATGCCAAGTTGTCAAGTCTCTCAATGCCAGGGGTGACTCTGCCACCTCTCTTGCTTCTAACTTGGAGGGACGCAGATTTATAGAGGGCTGACAGATGAAGTCCTCTGCCCTGGTTGGAAGTGGCTACAGACAAGGTGAGAAGAGTTCTGGTCACTCTTGTTGAAAATCCTACCTCTCAGTATGTCACTCACCACCTTTCCCTTCTGGTTTCTGGAGAAGCAGAAGCCACAGAGCCTTCTCATCTTCTCCTTCTGCTCCTTCCTCTTCTGTCTTCTCCATTACCGCCCTCCCCTTGGTCTCAGCTCAATAGTTCATACCTTTCCCTCACGGCAGATCAAACTTCTCCACAGTCCAGAGTCTGGAGTATTTGGACACCCAGTCGTGCTGAGGAGAACTGCACCCCAAGGCTGGGCCTGCTGCCATGGCAGAACCCCTTATCACAGCTTTGGTTTATTCAGAGCAGCAAGTTCTGGGGAGAGCACCAGGGAGTAACATCAACTAGGAACTTAACTTTTCAGCTGTCCATCTGGCCTGGGGCCAAAGAGGGAAAAGTGAGGACTTGGAGCAGGGACCAAAACCCCCACTGTGGCCTTGGGAATGCCACCAAGATCTTGCTATTCCCCAGGATGTGACACTCTCTGTGGAGAAATTTGGAAGTTTTTGTGTTGCTGCCATTATTACTACTATAACTGTATTCACTCAGTACCTGAGTTCCAACTAAACCATGTTGCATGGCCTTGGGTACAGCCTAACATGAAATGGCCAAATGAGCATCAACATAAAACGGGAAACAGGCCACAAGGCGAGCTTAGAGGAAGCACTATGAACAAGATGAGGAAGCCGTGGCCCTTTTCGTGGCCCTTCTCCAGCAGATTGGCACACCTGCTACCAAACAATGCATGTAGCTTGAGGAAAAACAGTTTTATCTCAAAGGAGCAAGTCTGACTGGAAAGGTCACAGAGGCAGCCACCCCAGACGACAACCTCTGGGGCTGGAAAGTTTCCTGATGACCGTGCTTGTTTTCTACTCAATGTGCTCGGACCCTCTTACTCCACACATCTGCATTCTTCTTCACTTCTTAGGCCACTCGTTCCTAGCTTCTTCTGCCCAGTAGATTCACATAAGGAGCTTTAAAAATACCCCAGAACTTCGGATTCAATTGTCCTACAGTATGACCTGTTAAGTGGGGTTTTTAAAAAGCTCCTCAGTTTATAGAAATAATGAGCAGCCAATGTTGTAAGCCACTGCCTCCACCCTTTTTTTTTTTTTTTTTTTTCAAAATGTGGTCCTCAGACCACTACACACCCTGAAATTGATTAAAAATGCAGATTTCTGGGTCCCATCCCATGTCTATTGGATCAGCATCTCTGGATGTGGAACCTGAGAATTGGCATTTGTAGCAGGCTTTCCAGATAAACCTGTGTATGCTCCAATTTAATACTAAAGACAGCCTCAAAGGATTTCCCTTCACCAGAGGTGCCACAGCTGGGATGGTTGTCACTGACTCTGTGTTTTCTTAACTTGCCAAGAAAATCTCACAGCGTAGCTCACACCAGCCTAAAAACAGCTCAGCACTGCAGTGAGGCCCCCAGTGCCCACTTAGGGGTAGAGAGCTCTTCTAGAAGTCACGGCACTGCCCACTGGCTTGCCTCAGGTGCAGAGGTCCCAGGACCAGAGCAAGCCCCCAGGCCAGAATGTAGTCCACAGCCCAAGCCGGCATGAGGAGCACAGGAAGACGTTACATGGGAAAGCAGCACTTGTGGGTACTAGCCTAGAGAGGCAAATGAGGGCATGTGGGAGATGCTAAAGGTCAGGGATGAGGTATGCTTGGATATTGCTCTAGATGTTGTAAACATGTCTCTTTGTTTCATCACAGACCAAAATCTGGGCTGGCATGACCAAAGTGCCAAAGAACGAGAACGGGCATCAGATTGGGAAGCCCTGTACCTTTTGGGGGGCATCGGGACATAAAGGGAGCGGGAGACCCCACCACGTCGGAAGACTATATCTGTGGTGCATTAGTTTTATGCTCACAATTGTAACACACGCACACATGTATATAGATGCTCCACAGAAGTACTATAAATATAGCTATCACGTCCCTCTACACACAGACACACGCCCACATACCCTCACTTAGCTGCAAAATTCAGCATACCCAGCCTTGGTCCTTCACACCTCCTCATTGTGGGAGGAAGTCACCAAGGCACCACGACACCACCATCTGCAGCCTCTGTTCCACCAATAATTGGCAAGCACTCCAGTCCCCAAACAAGACCACCGTACTACGGTTTTGTTCAGACGTTTCTCCTTGGGATAGTGGAATTGGTGAAAAGATCTTTCCAGAATGTTGATCATTTCCATAACTCTGGGCAGTTCTAATGTCTCGACACCTCATATTCCACAGGAGAGTTGGCAGCAGATGCACGCTTCATATGTAAACAATGTTTAAAATACCCTGTTAGAGAATTTTACCATTAAATTAATTCTGGCAGCTTTAGCTAAGAATGGTGTCTTTTACTAGTGTGTGGAGATACTACCTGATCTAACTAGAAATACCCACTTGAGGCTTCAGCGTTCTTGAAAATGGAACTTCACAGGTCTCTTCAGTGTGAGGGCTAGAAGGCATTTGCTTTCTCTCTTCTTGATGATTCACACAGACACATCACCCTCACTCTCTGATAACACTGTGCACGGCAGTACACCTTAACACTAGTGGGACTCAAGGATATCTTGGTCTTGTCTAACTGTTGCCAAGAAAGGAAGCAGTTCGCAGAGTAACTGGACAGGAATGCAAAATGGAAGCACTAGCCTAAAGATTCAGTCCAGCTCTCCACTAGCTACAGTCTAGAGCTGGCACATAATTCCATGTGCTGTTTCATTTAGTCAAGCTTAAAGTTGTGTAGATCTGCAGTGAAGCCAAGACCTAAATGCATTAGCCATGAAGTATCACAAGACAAGGTCTCTGTGCTTCAGTCCACCTAGAAACCAGCCTCTTTTAGGCTCCTGTTCCACTTTCTGGTCTCTCTGAGGACTCATTTTCATGGCCAATTTGGCCTTTTTATGAGTTGGTACAATAGATAAGTGTTGCCTACTCTTCTCCAAGGAAGAGTTTCCCTGACACATTTCCAATAGCAGTCCCAAGGTTCCATTTTAGGAAGGCTTTTCACAGCCAGGCCCACTTGTCCCCAAGTCAGGTGTTCACAGTGATCTTCTGAGCCACACCTTCAGTTCCATGTTCAATCCTAGGAAGGCCAGAGGTCAAGAGGGAAGCTGCTGAATAGCCAAAGTGATCCTCATGAGTGGGACCTTTCTAAAAAAGGATGATCCCAGGAAGCAAGCCTAAATTCCCTACCTCCCCCACTGTAATTACATGACCTGCATGGAAGGGGAGGGAGGAGAGACAGGGAAAGTATTAGGCACCATGAAAGCTGTCCATGCTATGGGAAGTCACCTCCCTTTACCATGCTGTCTGTCTTCCTAAGAGATGGGTGATAGATGACACCACATGAAGGGGAGGGCAGAGATTTCATTAAGCAACAGACAGGTTATGTGGTGCCGCATTGAACAAAAGTCTACTGGTGCTACATTCCCTGGTCATTCCGCTTCTAGAAAACTTCATGGTAAAATTGAGGAAGATTCACCACCAGTATCTTCCCTATAGCAGCCTCACATCAGAGGTGATGCAGCCCATCTCCCAAGGCTTGTTCTGGAAGTGCACAGGTAGAGAGTGTTGGTAACTTCCTAGGCTAACATGGGCAGTGATCACAGCTTTTGACACTAATCCAAAGAAAATGGAAGAACAGCCAACTCTATGGAACTTGTCCCACCTTGCAGAGGACAGCTATTTCTCCCAGAGGCATAGGACAAGTAGAGAGTCAGGAAATCTAACTGAGAAGGGTGTGGAGGGAGTAGAAATTGCATTGGCATTATTTACAGATTAGCCCAGCATAGCAAATGTGCCTTCTCAGTGGAGATAACCCAAGGCATTATGGAGGGCAAGTGGCTGACCCAGAGAAGGGTGACCGCAGCAAGGTGCTACCACTAGCCAAAACACAAACATGGGTAAAAGGAATAGAGCTTGAATCCTGGGAGCTGGATTCGTCCCTTCCTCACCTCCAGACTCCCACCACAAACGCCACTGCTTTTGAACACTTAGGACATTTCACATTAGAATATGGTCTTGGCAGCCAGGGAAGGGGAAAGCCAGTGATTTCCGAGTCCCCATGTGAAGTCTAACTGAGCCTCCTCTGGCTTTGAGACAGCAAATCTAAGTACATTTTGGACCTCAGGAACCTGGGGTAAGAGTCTTTCTCCATGAGACTGTGTACTTTTCCCTGGGCTTGGTCAAAGCAAGTCAGGGAAGGCTCTTGCATGTTCTTCCTTGTGGCTTCTCGGGTCTGGAAGTCGATGTTTACCTAGAGACATAAACAAAGAGCAAGGTTATGGGCCCTCAAGGCAGCATCTTAAAACAATCAAGTGCTTTTGGTCTTTAAGTTGCTCTCGTGGAGGCCATACCTTTTGAATCATACCTGTAAGGTCATACCTGTAAGAATCCTGTGAGGTCAGTAGAATAGATATTCTAAGTACCCATTTATAAGGACACAGAAGGAAAGAGAGACTAAAACATGCAAAGTTGATACAGAGCCAAGGCAAAGTCCCCAATCACCTGACTCCTAATCCAGGACTGTTCACAATATCAGGTAAAGGTTTAGATTCAAGTCAAGTGTTAATAAAGGTTTCTTAAAGTCAGCTGGTTTCCTCTTGTCCTTTCCTAACTACTAAGGTAACTAACGCCCTGGCGAGAGATCCTGATTAGATCTGTTCCAAGCTGCATAATACAGGGCATCTTGATCTGGTCAAAAATCTCATGTTCCCCAAGTCAAAGCAAAACTGAAGAGCTCTAAGTACTTCATAGATGGCAAATTATCTTTCTTCCATTAAATCCTCCCAGGTAAAATTCTGTTTTAAAATTCAGAATAGCAATACATAGAAATTCATTTTATTTTTTTGTTGTTTTTATTGTATGCAGCCAAGTGTATTCTGACTTATAGTGACCCCATGTGATAATTTATTATTAAATTATAAATAGTTAAAATAAGTGATCATAAAATAATACAATTAGCAATCGTTGCTCATTAATGAGCTTTGCCAAATACTATAGTTGGTGCTTTACCCCTAATACTTACAGTTGTCTTGAAAAGTAGATGATATTGTACACATTTTTTTTTTTAAAGAAAATAAGACTCAGGGAGGTTATATAACTTAAGCAACATAATAAAACTAGTAAGCAGAATTATGGTGTGGGGCTGTGGGCTAATGCACTGAACAGCAAAGTTGGTTTGAACCACAAAGTTGGTGGTTCAAGCTCACCAGCAGCTCCTCAGAAACTCTGTACAGGGATGCTATGAGTTAGAACCAACTAACTCAATGGCACTTAACAAGTGGCAGTTAGGAGAGATTGGATCAAGTTCCCAAAGATCTTTATCCATAAGTCTTCCACTAGGAAAACTAACCCAGACTCTGTGGTATCAATGCTTGCAAAGTCCCTGTAGCAACACAGTTCCTACTGACACATGTTTAATGCTTGCCCCCACCTTCCCTTCCCTCCCCACAAAAGCCATTCTGACTCACTGTGACCCTGCAGGACCGGGTAGACTGACCTATGATGTTTCCAAAGCTGCGGTCTGCCAGATCTTTCTCCCACAGAGTGGGTGGAGTGTCCAAACCACTGTCCTTTTAGTTAGCAGTTGAATCTTTCGCCATTGTACCACCAGGGCCCCTTTGTTTAATGGACAGACACTTCCAAGCACTCCTAAAAGAGCTCCTTTTTACAGAGGAAGCTCTGTTTCTGCTCCATTAAAATGATCCCCTTTTCATCAAGAACAATCATCACAGTGGTTCAGTCCTCATCAAACCTAGCCCAACCCTCAAAGAGGAGAGAAGCATGACTAGGGGTTTACAAGCCAACACACCTCCCGGGGAGCCTGCACATCCACAAACTCTTCAAAGATCCTATGGGCCTTGGAAACCAGTTTTGCAGTTGACCTGGTCTTCTTGAATTCCTCACAGGCCAACCAGAACTCCAGGTTCTCCTCACTGAATTCTGTCTTTAAGAAGGCGCGGAAGGCAGCCACCCCATCTGTAATGTGGAGAAAGGAACAGAGAAAGGAAAAAATTTAAGCTCAAGAAACATACAAAATAGAGAAAGGAAGTCATAATGCGAAGGTAGCCCTATTACCCAACCCTCGCTCCTTCTCCATACCTTCTCGAAGACTTTTTTCTCTTAGACACAGGCATACCCTGAGAGAGAAGCCAGACTTCTTATTCAAGAATCATAGTAATATTGGGATAAATATTTAGAAAGTCATTCGTCTTTACTACCTGACCCCTAATGCATTGTTAGCTGTAGCCTGGACCACTTGCAAGCCTACATTGCCAATTGTTGTTGTTAAGTGCCATTGAGTTGGTTCCAATTTATAGCGACCCTGTATAAGATTTCCAAGGATTGGCTGATGAGCTTGAACCGCTGTCTTGCAGGTTCCAACCAACCTTGCACTCCAGCACATTAACCCACAGTGCCACACCTAACCCAAGTTAGGGCCAAGAAAGAGTTTCTCTATTACAAGCTGACCTAGAGTGAGTTGTAAATGTCTCAGGGCAATCCTTCATATTTTAATGTTTTGTTTCATGAATCCTTTATTTGAAAAGATTTTGACTATCAAATTTTGTTTGGATAAAGATTAATTAATTATGATAAAAAAAAGTGATTGAATGATTTGATTGAGTGGTTCTGACTCATAGCCACTCCCAGTGCCAGCATACAGCTGCCCCATAAGGGCTGTAATCTTTCTGGGAGCAGACTACCAGATCTTTCTCTTGCTGAGCCGCTGGATGGTTTAACTTAGTTTTTAACCATTGCCCTAGAAAGGCTGCTTGATTTAATGATTACTGTACTCTTTCACTTATATTAATTAATGCCATGCATTATGCCAAGCAGAGCCCCACACTGGCATCAGATAAGCAGGGTAACAACACAGACTTGGGAAGGAGGGATCATTTCTTGATGGTCTATGTATCCAGTGTGTTGTTGTTGTTGTTGTTGTTGTTGTTGTTGTTAGGAATCTTCAAGTCAGTTCTGACTCCTAGGAACCCTCAGCACAATAGAACAAAGCACTGCCTGGTCCTGCACCATCCTCACAATTGTGATGTTTGAGCCCATTGCTGCTGCCACTGGGTCAGTCTGTCTCATTGGCAGTCTTCCTGTTTTTCACTGACCGTCCACTTTACCAAGCATGATGTCCTTTCCAGGAACTGGTCTCTCCCAACTACACGTCCAAAATACCAGAGACAAAGTCTCTCCATCATCATTTCTAAGGCGCATTCTTGCTGTACTTATTCCAAGACAGATTTGTTTGTTCTTCTAGCAACCCATGGTGCTTGCAATATTCTACACCAATGCCATCAGAGAAAAGCATCAATTCTTCTACTGGCTTCCTTAATCATTGTCCAACTTTCACATGCATATGGGGTAGGTGAAAATACCATAGGGTCAAGTGAACCTTATTCCTCAAAGTGGTATATTTGCTCTTTAAACACATTAATAAGGTCTTTTACAGCAGATTTGCCTAATGCAAAATACATCCTTCAATTTCTTGACTGCTGCTTCCATGATCGTTGATTGTAGATCCAAGCAAAATGAAGCCTTTGACAACATCATTCTTTTCTCTGTTTATTAAGATTGTATTCATTGGTGCTGTCGAGAGGATTTTCATTTTCTTTACATTGCTCCCAGAATATCACAGGCTGTTAACAAGTCTTCTTCCAATCCTGATGCTACATTCTGCTTCATACAGTCCAGCTTCTCAGCACACAGACTGAATAAGTATGGTGAAAGGATACAACCCTAGCTCTCACCTTTCCTGACTTTAAGCTATTTAGTATCCACTGTTCAAACCACTGCCTTTTGGTCTGTATACAGATTCTTCAAGAGCACAATTAATATTTTAGAAATCCATTCTTCACAATGTTATCCATAATTTGCTATGACCCACACAATTGAATACTTTTCTCAGTCAATAAAGCACAAGCAAACATCTTTTTGGTATTCTCTGCTTTCAGCCAAGATTTATCTAATGTCAACAATGATCCCTCATTCCACATCCTCTTCTAAATCCAGCTTAAATTTCTGGCAGCTCCTTGTCAATGTATTGCTGCACAGTTTTTGAATTTTCTTCAGCAAAATGTTACTTGTATGTGACATAAATGATATTGTTAAATTATTCCCACATTTTGCTTAGTCACCTTGTTTTGGAGAAGGCAAAAAATTAAAACAAGTCCACAAGAGGCAAAATATGACCTTAAGTATATCACAAATGAATTTAGAGACCATCTCAAAAACAAATCTGATGCATTACATACTAATGACTGAAGATCAGAAGAGTTGGGGAATGACATCAAGAACATCATACAGGAAGTAAAAAGTCATTAAATAAATAGACAGGAAAGAAAGAAAAGACCAAAATGGATTTCAGAAGGAACTCTAAAACTAGCTCTTGAATGCAGGGAAGCTAAAGTGATGGGAAGAAATGATGAAGTAATAGAACTGATTAGAAATTTTCAAAGGACAGCTCAAGAAGCTAAAGTATTACGTGAAATGCATAAAGACTTAGGAGTTAGAAAATCATAAAGGAAGGACATGCTAAGCATTTCTCAAACTGAAAGCACTGAAGAAAAATTCAAGTTTTAGGTTGCAATATTGAAGGATTCTATGGACAAAATGTTGAATGAATCAGGAAGCATCAAAAGATGGAAGATATACAGAATCACTCTACCAAAAATAATTGATCTACATTCAACCATTTCAAGATGTAGCATATGATCAAGAACTGAAGGTACTGAAGGAAGAAGTTCAAGCTGCACTGAAGACATTGGTGAAAAACAAAACTCCAGGAATTTATGGAATGCAAATGTAAACATATCCAGTTTGGGATGATAGCTAATGTACCTGGCTGGTAACCAAAGGTTGAAGGTTCAATTCCACCCATATGCACTGCAGAAAAAAAGACCTTGTGATCTACTGCTGAAAATTCAACCACTGAAAACCCATGGACAGGGCTCTACTCTGACACACATGACAGTTGGTATGCAGCTGGTAAATGTTTTCATATAAAAAACATTTTTAATATAATGTTTTAACCCTTAATCTACTCTCCATTAATTGAATGAGAGCTGTTTAATCTTTCTATACATTCTCCTCAAGAGTTGTTGTTGCTGTTAAGTGCAGACGAGTTGGTTCCGACCTATAGTGACCCTGCATAGGGTTTCTGAGGAGCAACTGGTGAGCTTGAACCGCTGACCTTATGGTTCAAAAAGACTTTGCAGTCCAGTGCATTAGCCCCATAGCACCATACTACGACTCCTTTCCTCAAGGGTGGCCACATACAATTTAAAATAAAGAAATCATTTCCCCTAGTATATTATGTTTTCTAAAATTCACTAGCAGTAAAAAATGTTAATAATGAAGAATTCTGGGTGACGGTGTGCCCTGAATATTGATACCCAGCTTGTATGTCCTAGTCACTGGCCAGGAATCCTTATGATGGATAATTGGTGTCATGCAATTGTTGTAGTAAGTCTTTATTTTCTAAAACATGTTAGTTTCTCTGAATTTTAAAAAAAAAAAAAAGTGATTGTGCATCCTTGACTTTTAAAACACTTTTTTTTGGTTAATTTAAAATAAAAAAATTTAGGGCATCTTTTGCATGTAGTACAAATAAAAATGTATGGAGTTCAGTGTATAGCATTTGTAGATGGCAGGGTGTGTTACCGTGTAAGTTCTAAATGTTCCACTTGAGAGATCAGATGATGAGGATTTATAGCCTTTGCTTCCTGTGGCAGTGTGGCAAACCATTAGCATGGAGACAGAAGAACTAGACAGCAGTCCTAGTTCTGCAGTGTTAATCTGTGTTTCTTTATTTATGAGATGGACATAATGCTTTTTCTTATCACATATGTAAGAGTCAAATCAGAGACCAGAAAAATAGATGTTATAGTCTACCTTTGAATGCTTTGTTGTGGGTTAACTGATTTGTAGGTTAAACATGGTAAAAACACAAAATAGACCTTGTAATCCCGATACTAGTAGTAAAAGCCAAAACTGAATTGCAAGAGGCAAGCACTTGAGGGAGAAAAGTGTTCCTGTGGAACTCCCCAAGCTGATCTCTTCATTTCTTAACTTTTCCTTGTGAACTGGGAGAAGGTTTACAGAGCAAATCGATTTCCATTCAGCAATTCATATACATTTTGTTGCATGTCATTTATTACATGATTCCCACACTGTAACATCACTCATCCCACTTCCTCCTTGTGTCTCCTGTTTCCCTCCTCCTTCTTTCCTCACTCCTTTCTGTCTTCTGAACTTTGTCCTTGGGAAAAGGATGCCCTTTTGACCTCTAAATAGTTGATTATTTTGAGAAGTGTGTACTTCCCTAGTGCTATTATTGATCTTATAGATTAGTCTATTGCTTGGTTGAAAATTGAACTATGCAGGTGAGTTCAATTCTGATCCTGGAGGATGGCTAAGGGACACAGTTTCCAGGTTCCACCAGTCTCTATTCAACCAGTAATTTTGAGTTTTGTTCCACATTTGTCTCTAACTCTACCCCACCACTTGTCTGTCATTTAGTCTTACTGTGGTGGCTTGTGAGTTGCTGTGATTCTGAAAGCTATGCCACCGGTATTTTAAATACCAGTATGGTCACCCATGGTAGACAGGTTTCAGATGAGCTTCCAGATAAAGACACACTAGGAAGAAGGAGTGATGGACTACCTCCGAATATGAAGTCACTGAAAACCTTATGAATAGCAGAGAAACACTGTCAGATATAGTGCCAGAAAATGAGCCCCTCAGATTGGAAGGCACTCAAAATGCGACTGGGGAAGAGCTGCCTCCTCAAAGTAGAGTTGACCGTGATGACACAAATAGAATAAAGTCTGCAGGACCTTCATTTGCTGAGGGAGCACAATTCAAAATGAAGAGAAACAGCTGTAAACATCCATTGAAAATCAGAACATGGAATGTACAAAGTATGAATCTGGGAAAATTGAAAGTTGTCAAAAATGAAATGGAACACATAAACA